TATTCTAAGAGTCCAGTAGACCATAATAGTATTGGGTCTTCTGCTTGACTGGCAATGTCAGAAATTGTGGCAAAACTTTCTAAGAAAAAATGTTCAGCATTATTTTGCAATAGTAAATACTATGAAAAATAACAAATAAACAATCAGTGTGATTATCTTTTTTCTTTTTCAGTATAAGAGATTGAACCCAGGCCTTGGCAATGAGATGCATCTCCAGTCTGCTGTCTTCCTTCCTTCCTTCCTTCCTTCCTTCCTTCCTTCCTTCCTTCCTTCCTTCCTTCCTTTCTTCCTTCCTTATTTCTTTCTTTTTCTTTGTGGTGACAGGATTTTGCCAGGTTGGGCTTAAATTTTGAATCTTCCTACCTCAGCCTCCAAGAACACTGTGATTATAAGAATGTGCCAATACACCAGAAACCTTTTATAGTTCAAATAGTGTTCTAAATAATCCAAAGGTTTCTGGGTCAATTCTATATTAAGTATATTGATCCCAGGGTCACTGTTTTTAGACATTTTATATAGAACCAGGATATACCCAAAGCAATAAAGTTTAGCAACTTCTAACCATACTTTTAATTTTACTTCTCTTCATTTAACAAAAAAAAAAAAAAAATTTAGAAATGTTGAAAGTTAGGCAACCTTTGAGGTCAAAATTTGAAAACTTTTTGACAGACCAATAATCTTAATGTCAAAGAATTAGAGGGTCCTGTCTCAGCCATTTACATTGCAAAAGGCTGTCACTGAGAAAAGGAAATGCTAACAGATTTAAATTTTCTCTTGAAGTAAGACTAAAAACAGTTTAGAAAGGAAAACTTGAGACTACTTGTTAAGTGACTAGGAAGAAAACTATGTTAGTTATGGAAGCTTTTTATAATCTCTCATTTAATCTCTTTTTACACAGAATAACTGGCACAGTTAAAACCATTTTATCATAATAGTCTCTGCATGTTATATCAGGACAAACCACAGGAACACTGGAAATACTCTCCCATCAAGCCAGGGATATGTAGGCCTTTGAACACTGAGCTCAGTTAGCTACTATACATCATCTATCTCTATGTTTAACAAAAGGGGCTTTCTCTCTTCAGTTCTTGTAACAATGCTTAAAACACATTCCCTTAATAGTGCTACTCCCTGAAGCTCTCATCAAGAAGGCCAAAGCGAAAGATGGCTAACGTGCAGGAAATATTTGCTCAGTAGAACTTTCCATCTTGCTCTAAAAATGTGGGGAAACACTTGCCTGCTTTACAGATGTTTCTAGGTGGTCCTGTTTGGATTCTGCTCTGCACACTGCAGAATGAGGTCATTCTTGAAAGAATATACATTTCCGAAATGAACAAAAACACAAGAATAAATGTACAAAAATGATACCTTGGTAAACATGCAATGCCAGTGTCCATTGTTTGTGTGAATAAGGGTAAGAGAAAGTAAAGTCCTGAGAGAGTAATCCACCAAGAAACCTATGTCTTAAGAATCTGGATAGTTCCTTGACATGACCCCATTCATTCTGAGTGATTGAAGAGAAACACTGTCACCCCATACTCTGCCTTGCCAATGGCTTCCCCTTACATGGATGGTATGCATCCTGAATCTCACTCCTTATCTGAGCTTGGCTGAGCTGTGCTATGAACTAGTTATGGAAGCTATAAGCAAATGAGAGAGCAAGTTGCTAGCTCAAGGACTAACTATTCTCCAGGTATTCTCCTTCTCTCAGGATGCCAAGGAAGGATGTGAATGCTGCCTCTTCAACCCTGCAGAGGACCCACTAAGAGGCCTATTTATTCTGCACCCACCAAAGGGAAGAGTGACCACCTGAATTTGCTGCCCAAACTAGGATTTAAACTAACTCTATGGCCATAGCAAAGATTGTGTTATTTAAAAAAGTCTTGGATTTACAGGTCCTCTACTCCCCACAAAACAATGATTTAGAACAATGTTCTTAGAATTGTTCTTTCCATACATGCTTATTATCCTGCATCTTGGACCATTTATACTGGGCCTAGCCAGGAGATGAGCTGTGCACATTCTGGAGACATGTCTAGAGAGGAGAAACCCAGCAAGCAGATTAGATACAATTCTTAAATTAACCATAAATTACTCCCTGAAAAGAACTCTTATGTAACACCAAGGAATCCTGACCTGGTATTCCTTGGGCCTTGAAAGCTCTTGAATAAAACCACAAAATACTTAAACAACAATGGTGGGGCTTCAGCTTAGATAATAGTAGTTTATTTTTAACTGAGGATCAGACTCTAAATTAAGCCATGCTCTGTGCCAGGCATTATAGTAGAGAAAAGTAAAAAAAAAAAAAAAAAAAAAAAAAAAAAAAACTTACATCTTTAGAGTGTGTTATGAAAGTGTCCTGCTTCATTCACTTTGGCTTACGCTCCAATTTTGTCTCTTTTTGGTTTTATTAGCATTCACTTATTTGGTGTCGGTATATGAGTTCTGCAAAGATCTAAATGTTTCTCTTGCTACAATTCTCTTGTCTCAAAATTCATGGCTAGTGACATTGTACGTTCCATTTCAACGAGTATTTATTGTGTGCAATACTGTTATGTGCAAGAGTTGTGAAAAGAGAAGCAGGCTGGTGCTGCCTTCTCCAGGATAGTCTTGCATATAGATACGCATGCCACCATTAAAGGATGATTTTCATGCTAACTAAAGCCTTAAAGTGAGACCAGAGGGAGGGAACACTGTTAAATCTAAGTGGAAAAACAGGGAAGCTTCCCTAGCAAACAGAAATTTGACTTGGAACCATCAAAGGATTTCAGTAGTGAGCAAAAGAGTAAACAGATACTTGAGACCAAAGAATATGCAGCTAAACACACAAAGGCTAAATGTGTTCAAAAATAGATCAAGTGGACCTCCGTCTGACCACCCCTTAGAAGAGTAAGAAGCATCACTGAGGTGGAAACTCAGGAGATGCCCATTGAGTCTCAATTATCCTAAGGTTTAGGAATCTTACTTCAAAAATTTTAGGTAACCACTGACAATTCATGAGGTAGTGATTTTTAATATATATTTACAACAGATATTCTTAAAAAGAGAGTGAATCGGGGAAGAAGCAGTAGATTCATTGCAATAATCTATAGACACAGTCATTCAGCAAATAGTTATCAGGTAAATGCTTAGTGCCAGGCTCTGTTTTAGACTGTCCAGATAGAGGAATAAATAAAACAGGAAAACAGTGTCTTCTGGCTTCATGGAATTTTTATGTTAAAGTGGAAGACAGAGTGTGAGTAGCATAAAGAAACAAACTATGTTTACTGTAGTGATACAATGTAAGAATTGCTGAACAGTATGTTTGGCTTAACTTTGGATTGTTTATCTGTTTAGCAAACATACATTGGTACTTATTGTATGAGTAACAGTGTGTAATACTGAACATACAGGGATAGAATATGCTCAATGATGAAAAAGACAATATTTATAAACATATAGTTTGTTCTTTTATCAGATGTGAGAGCATGGAATGGCATAAATATTTAACTCTGACAGGAAGCCTACTTCAAACAAGCAGGCTGATTCTTTAGTGATCCAAGTATTTAAAAACCTCTCTCATTATCTCTGTGCTGACTCATAACCAAATAGCTGCATTCTTCAATATTCAACTCTTACCTAAATCTGTCACCAAGATTGAATTTCCAACCAATGTGTTTTGTGGGTTCTTCATAAGGTGCCTATTTCATGTAGTCTCTTGGGCTGGCTAAGCAGTGTCTGGTCTTCATCTTGTAACTCTGAGTTGCCAGAAGGTTGGTTGTTTACTCCAGAGTTCAGCACAATTGTAGAAAAAGGTCACAGTCTTGGAGATGGCCCGGTCACAGTATCTCCATTCTGTCCTCAAGGTCCCCACATAACAACCCAACCCTTTTTTGAATATCCAGGTGTCTTCCTTATTTGGGATTTTGCTTTTCATGATTTCAGTTACCCATAGTAAGGTAATATTAAATGGTAGTTGCAGAAATAAACAATTCAGAAGTTTTAATCTGAATTTTATTCGGAGTAGCATAATAAAATCTTGAGCTGTCCCACCCCAACCTGCGTGAGCTGGGAATCAACCCTCTGTCCAGCACACCCATGCTGTATCCACTCCCTGCCCATCAGTCACTTAGCAGCTGGCTCAGGGATCAAATTGACTGCTTTCTTAATGAAGTGCCTACATGGAGGTTCAGACACCACTAGAAGTCTTGTACTGGGGCCGGGGAGATGGCTCAGTAGAGTAAGCACTTCCCTGGCAAGTGCAAGGGCCTGAGTTCAATAACCAGTTCCACTAAAAAAAGAAAAAGAAAAAGAAATCTTGGAGTGTATTCTCCAAGGATAGCTGGGGACCACTGCATACTCCTTCCTATAGCAAAATTTTGAGGAGCATTTCTAATATATCTCTTTGTGGGTTTTGTAAGTTATGTACTTTAAATAGTCAACTGCTATTAATATCTGAAGTCATAAAGAATGTTTATCATGTTTATCACATGTTATTCATGTGACTTCACACATAATTTTAAATTAGTTCAACTGATTTCTTCATTTGTTTAAATCTGTTCGCATTGTTCTTGCCATTTGGATGTGACTAGCAGTGGGGCCAGTAGTAGGAGTATGGAAATGCCAGTTTTGTTTGTTTCTTGTTGACTGCTTATTGTTACTTATTGGTATTTTCTCCTGGTTTCTGCTCAAGTATCTTTTAAAATCACTTCTCCACTTTTTTAGAGTGAGTTTGTTTAGAAATAAGCAACATAGCCCTATGATCCTCTCAATAGGATACATACAGACAGTGTAGCGTCATAACGTATGGAAGTCTAGGAAGTTGCCTATCAGATGGCTGATAGCCCCCTCTGGGCTATGCAATCCCCACTCCCTCTCAGAAACTATCAGCAGCTATATACTTTAAACAAAGAAAACTTAAATCAGATCATGATGTTGAATACTGGCATCACAACTCATTTTTTAAAAATTCAAGTAAAATATCTTCAGTACACACAAATGAAATTCCTAATGCAGTCATCTGCACTTCATTTTGAAATGTCTTCACCATCTTTCATATAGCAAATATTCTCTCACATCATCTACATGCGCTCCATTTTGGAGACCATGGTTTCCATATCTTATATCTACTGCTTTCCTCCTTAACTTAATGATTAAAGACATCGTGTGTGTGTTATCAGTCAGCCACACAGTACATATCTTCTGCACTCACCATTCATCTTCACAGCTACCCTTTAAAGAAAGAGACTGTTACTGTCTCCACTTCACAGATGAGAAAACTGAGGCTCAGATAAGTTCACTAATTTTTTCCAGAGCGATACTGCTTGGAAGAATCGCAGACAGATTGGAAACACGTCTTTCTGGCTTAGCAATCATCTTCCCTCTGTTAGATAATTTGTACTTTCATGTCTAAAGAATTAAGCCCTGAGAAATCATGGTTTTTTTTTTTGAGTTCTTAACGCACACTTTTACAATACTACTGTGTGGGTGCCACACAGCAGCTGTCTGGCTAAAACTGTAGCACCAGAATGGCTGATTTGTGTCCCTGCTGCGAGTCTGGTTGCTAAGGGACTCTACACATAGGAAAATATTTGTCAGCTCCAGGTGGCTGGGACACCAGACAGGGTTACTGATAGTTAGATGAGCGTAAGCAATGATTTAGTGAGTTCCAGGGCAGTACTCAGCAAAAGCCCCACAATCTCCAGGCTTTTCGAGGAAAGAAGTTAGAGATGTTCACATTGTGTTTTGACTGGTATAAAAATTCAACATTAGTCAGTTGGATTACAGCGAAAGCTGATCTGCCTAAAATGATGAAATAAAAGGTTAATTAAATAGTATTCTTTCTTGTGGGGGAACATATATTGCATTAGAATAAATCAATGTGTTGACGCAGTAAAATTATATTGCTATATTTAATATGTTGGCAAAATTAAGCACTTTAATTGTTGGTCATTGATTTCAATCATCTCATTAGAATTTATTCTCATCAAAGATGGTTACATCAGATAATGTTCTCTTCCAGTAAGAAAGGAAGAACAAAGGAAAATAAATAAAACAGTTTACTAGAATCTCATAAAAATTCTTGCACAAGAAGTGAAGAAGCATGGGAAAATATGAGAATTTTTCTTTCTTTTTTTATAAAAACAAGCTTTTCCTTGAAGTCCCTGCAAAATTGCAGTTCACATAACATATTGGTATGTGTATATGTTTATACAAGAAAGAGCTGTCTCACCAGAAAAAATGTGAATCAAATCTTCATGGTCATTTTTCAAAATGACTAACAGCATATATAATTTCCTTTCTTAAAAAGCTTATCGTTCATTTCTGATTTTTTAAAAAACATCCATTTTCACTTTCTCCAGAAGTCTAGATCTGTGGTTTGAGAACCATATTTCTTTTCATCTTAGTTCTTCAGTGTTTTGAGTCCTCTATGCTGCTTAATGCTGACAAAGTATTACAGCATTAAACTAGTTCTTTATAAACAAACATGACAAATTAATATCTAGTCCATATTACAGAAATTCCGTTGTGTGCTAAATACTTTAAAAATGTGATGCTTAAGTAGAAACCACATTCTAACCTAAAAAATGGCTTTTAACCTATGTTAGCCTCTCTTATAACAGGATCAATATTTACAAGATACATAAACCAGAACTTTCTCTCTCTCTTTTTTTTATTTTTTTGGCAGAACTGAGGATTGAACTCAGGCCCTTGCATTTGCCTGGCAAGCACTTATTCTACTGAACTATCTCCCCACCCCCAAAAGTTCAGAGGGATTTTTTTATGCTTATAATTAAAAAGTCTAGAACTTCTACTTTTTTTTTTTTTTTTTTTTTGACTGGCTCAGGATGCCTTCAGGGCAGGTCTGGCAAGGCTTGAGGATGTGGGGCTCAAACCACAGCATGCTAAACCTGACTGCTTTGTTGAAGTACTCACTTACGTGACTGAGCTAATAGCAGGCCCCAGAACTTTCTTTAAAAATTAGTCAACATACTTTTTGAAAGTGAAATACAGTCCCTTTAGTAAAGTGAATTTCATGGTAGAATATTTCCAAACTGAAATAGTAAAGAAAATACAAGTGTAGGGTTTGTCTTTCTTTCTTTCTTTCTTTCTTTCTTTCTTTCTTTCTTTCTTTCTTTCTTTCTTTCTTTCTTTTTCTTTCTTTTTCAGAACTGGGAATTGAACTCAGGCCCTTGCACTTGCCAGGGAAGCACTTATTCTACTGAGCCATCTCCCAGGCCTGAAAATACATGTTTTTAAAATGGAAATATTTTTGTGGCGCAAACATGTGTTTGTTAGGTAGCAGCTGTGTGCATTGCCCCAGTACAGTGGCTTCTCTTTCATTCTGAGTCCATTGCAGGGAGATCTGGGAGCTCATGAGATTGTTTCCAAGCTCTGGTTTCCACCTAGCAAGAATTCTTCCTTTCTTTTCCCTTGAATAAATCCAAAGAAACTCAAACAATCTATGAGCACTCTAGGATTATTCTGGACTAGTAACTGATTTAAAAAACAAACAAACAAACATAAAGACCTTGGCTTGAAGGAGATTTTTTTACTTCAGCTCTAAGGAGGAAAATGCATAATCCTATTATGCTTAGTTATCAGTGCCATTTGAAATCCTGACTGGCTTGATAATCACCATGGAGCCATAGAAGACTTAGCGGGTAGATAGCTAAATTTAATTAATAGTACAGATAACTGGAGAAAGCTCCTCATTTATTTTACTGGTCTGTGTACTTTCTTTCTCTCCCTCTTCTCCACCTTAAGAATATTTTTCCTTGCTTTCCTGCTCCAAGTACTGTGTAGCAGCCAAGAAAAACACAGCAGCAAGACAATTTTGAACAGCATGGCTTTGAAGAAGGTAAAAGGCTTTGGGCTCAAACAGATCTGAGTTTGAATTCAACAGTGTCACTGGCTGAGTTTATAGTTTCCTATTGCTCTGAGTTTCTGATTGGTCATCTCCAAAGTGGAGACAAGAATGTATGCCTGAGAGCAGCAGCAGAGTAGAAGAACATATAGTCAAGGGCCTTGTGCTGGGCTTTGTTGCAATGGATGGCAGTAACAGTCTTGGTTATGGTGATCCTCATTGTTACTGTTCATCGCCTTTTAAAAGGATCTAGGTTACGTAACTCTACTGAAAACTCTAGTGTTCACATGTAGAAGCTTTTGCAAAGGAAGACCTTTGGAGAAATATTGCTTGATGACTGAATTTTTCAACTCCCTGTGAACACAGTATACATTTTCTTCAGAGTTTGATAAGTCCTGCCATATTGAACCTCTCTTTCTATTCTTCATATCATCTCGTTCAATGTTGAACATGTGTAGCATGTGGCTGACTAAGGTATGAATAAATAAATGGAGATATTATGAGAACCATTTTTCTGGCTGTATTTTTATTAATCACTTATGGTTTACCTTTTTTCAAAAGTACTTGAAAAGGCTTTGCTGGTTTTAATCTATTCTTATATAATAGTGGATGAAGATTAGAATTGTAACAGAAGCTCCTGTTCCGGGTTCTTTCATCCCCACAGGCGACTGTGTGCACCCTCCCTGCTTAACTTCCCTGAGCCTTCATTTCTTCCTACATGACATGGAGGTGGTAAGGCTTTCTAAAGTTCCTGTGAAGATTAAGGAAGCCATTGTCCATAAAGCATTTAGCCCCATGGCTGGCCCATGTTATCAACAATAATAATTTAGTATATTTTAGAAAAATTATACATATATATATCATAAATAATCAAGTGGATTTTCTGAGCTTTATAAACCTTCCTAATACAATTTATTTATTTATTTATTTATTTATTTATTTATTTTTGTATTTAGTACAGGGTTTCACTGCATAGCTTAGAGTTGTAGTGATTCTCTTTTTTCAGTCTCCCAAGTGCTGGGATTACAGGCACATGCCACCACACCAAGTCTTAATCACTGTCTCCATGCACCCCAGGAGAGGGGGCCGGCATGGCATGCCAGGGATTGAACCCCAGCCGCTGTGCTCTGCTTAAGCAGGTGCTTTAGTCTGCTGCACTATCTAGCCAGTCCTCCTAATACAATTTATATTAGGGAAAATGTTTTTAAAAAATGATTTAAAAAAAACTTAAACCTTCTAACAAATCCCAAGGCCCCAACAAACTTGAATAGCAAGTATTAATGGTTGTAGCTAATAAATTAAGGACTAATGGAAGCCAAGTTGGCAAGACATAATTTTAGCTTCTAAATAGCTTATTTCCTGTTTAGTAAACAGTGCAATTCTAGCAAATGCTTATCTCCAGTCAAATTGCAAAAGACCTAAAGCTTTTATATGCTGTCAAATTATTTTTCCTTTTCAATAGGAACTGTTTAGTGAATTGCAAACGAGCCTTACTATGCTTCTACGTGCCTGATCGTGTGCCAAGTGTTGTGGGAACCACTGCAAAACAGACACTCAAGTCCACAGACTCCTGTAACTTGATTTCAGAGAAAGCTGTCCAAGGCCATGTGCACCAAGGGCCAGATTGCCTGGCTGATTTGCAGGCCGGGTGCAGTCCGAGGTCATTTACCCAGACGTTTTAATAACTGTCTTGTAGTAACTAACTGCTTTTTAAAATGCTGTTTCATTCATCTCCCTACAATCAGGATACTGCCTATATTCCCATGTTTTATTGGACTTGACTTATAAAAAAAGGAAAGATCAGAATGTCATATTTAGGAGTAAAATTTAAAAGAAGAAACAGTTGGAGCTAATGCCAGGCATCAAGATGTAGCTGCTTAGACTGCGGTTCCTGGGGATATTTAGCCTGCTAAGTCAGAGACCACACTATAAAATCACAGCAGGCTTTCGGATGGGGGCTCAGCACCAATGCTTTCCTAGCAACCAAGACAAACCTTAGTGCCCTGTCGCATGACATTTGGGTGGGTTTTCTTGGATTCAGTTAACACAGATAGGGGCGTTGTCCCAACCCAATAGCCAGGACACAGAGGTACAGTTTTCCTTCACTGGAGTTTGATAATATTCTTCCTAAGTGGTATTATCTTCACTGATTTCAGGTACTGTCAACAAAACGTTTCCTTTTATAACTCATAACGTTTTTTTATTAAAAAGCTTTAAAA